TCACTAATTTAGTACGGACTTCCTGGGTGTCTTGTCGAGCATACGGGGTCGAAACAAGATCGTCGCGCCCAATCCGGGCCGGGGATTCGACACTAAGAAGCAGGCACCAGCACTAAAAAGAGATGAAAGCAGTCGCGGCGATCCCGGGGTGGGAGGTGGCAGTTCATTCTGGATTCGAGGATTCTTCCTTGAGCATTGAAGAACACAAGATTCTCCTGGCAGAAGGGGATGGAAGGGTGTACCTAGCAGGGGAAAGCGAGAGAAAAGGCTCAGTGTTGTGGGGGGTTTTCCCCGTGGAGAGGGAAGGTCTGTGAGCCTCGCGGAGAGGGGGCGGCTGCCAAATGAGAGGGGCAGTAATGAGAAGCATCGGGAACGTTTTTACGAGGGTAGAAGCTTGCTTATGTGGCCATTTAAAAAAACAACCTGCGGTGTGCAAAAGGAGGGGTTTCATCAGCCGGAGTGGTCTGCCCTTGGCCTGAGGCCTCCTGTTGGTGTGTAATGTGAAGGGAACTCTGACCTCTAGTCCCCCTCAGCACCAAGGTTCTGTGGTGCTTTGAAAGGCTCTGGGCATCCCTGAGTTCCTTTAGGATGGGCCTGGCCTTGCCCCCCTGGTACTGTCTGCAGTGAGGAGATTATGTTTGTCTGTGGGGCCCTTGCCCTCCAGCTTCTGGCCTGCAATTCTGGACCCCACGTTGTCTCTCCCTGCCTTCAGCTCCCCTCCCTCTCCAGGCTTCCTTAGAGCACTGGAGGAGATTATTCTTGCCTTCTAGGGAGATCAGTGTAAAGTGTACCACCTCTACCTAAGTATCTATGACCCCCACCTTCCCCTTACCCCACATACTACAGTTCTTCCGCAAACCCTGACGGCTCTACCTCCCAACAGATGGCAACTTTGCCCTCCTCTTCCATTTCCCAAGGCCATCATCCTGGCTCAGGCCACCATCATCTCTCACCTGGGCAACTGTAGGAGCTGAGTGGTCCCCGACCTCCAGCCTGTCTCCTCCAGTCCACTTTTAGACAGCACCAATGTGACCTTCCTAAAATATCAATTGTGTCACGCCTCTCCCTTATTTAGATCCTCCATTGTTTGCCAAGTACTACACTTGACATCAAATCCACACTCCTTAGCCTGAACCTGCAGGAGCTGGCCCCAGCCACCTCTCCACCTGTCTCCAGCCTTCTTCTGCAGCCAGCTGGCCTGTCAGTTCTCCGAAACCATCACATCCTTTTACGCCTTGGGGTCTCTTCACGGGCTGTCCTCAGCCCTTGGAATGTTCTTCCTTCTTCTCATAAGCTGGCTCCTTCTCTTCCTAGGGCTCAGCTTCAGTTGCCCATCCTCAGTAGGCCTTCTCTGCTCCTCATCCCCCCTACTCTCTAGCTAAGCCCTTACTCTGGGTTATCCACAGCACTTAGCACAACTCAACGTTATTCCACACGTGTGTGCATTCATTTAGCGGTCGTCTTCCCCGCTAGTATGTACCTGAGCAGCACAACCAAAATGAGACAGAGCTCCCTTGAAGGCTGGGAGGGGGAAGCTGTGAATCGCCAGTCATGTCTGCTCCTGATCCCTTTGGGGCTATAGGGTCCTGTGGCCTTGAAGTCTTTGGAGGAAGGCCCTAGATAAACTCTTTAGGACTTTTAATGAGTCCTTCAGTCTCTCTCTTTCTTTGTCTGTCCCTGTCTGTCTCTGTCTGTCTCTCTGTCTTTCTGTGTCTCTCTCTTTCCTCTCATGTGCGCGCGCGCGCGCGCGCACACACACACCCCTTCTGAAGGACACAGATGCCAGAAAGAAGCCTAGAGCTGGGCGTAGGAGGCCTGGGTTTCTAGTCTGTGCTTCAACACGGACCTACTGTGTGACTTTGTGCAAATCTCTCCGTGTCTCTGTGGTTGTTGGTGGCATGAGATGCTCACTGAGGTCCCTCTGGCTTCCTAGTGCCCCTCATCTGGCCACAACTCTAGAGAGGAGCTGCAGTTAGCTGTCCTGCCTCCCAGGGCTGTGGGGCCGGAGGGCGCTCTCCAATCGGAGGCCGAGCAGCCTCTCCAGGCTTGCAGCTGGCACGGCCAGTAGTGCCGCTCAGGTCCAGAGGGAGGAGGCACATGGGCACGAGGGGCTCAAAGCTGTCAGGAACCCTGCGTGTTGGCAAAGTGTGGGCATAGGGACCCAAAGACAACGTGAGGTCTGTGCCAGAAGTCAGGAGGCCTGGGCGCGGGGGGGGCTTCTGTCCTACTCACAGACAGCTTCAGGCAAGTCAAGGCTCTTCTCTGGGCCTCAGTTTTCCTCCTTGAAAAATGAGGGGTTTGGATGAGATGCTTTCTCAGGATCCTTTCAAACCCCAGATTCTTACAAGTACGTATGTATGTGGGAAAGTGCGTGGGGGCCAGATATGGGACAGAGGAAGGTGGTTGCCATTTCAGACTTTTAAAATAATTATCTGCTGCGAAATTTCTTCACCATGTCTCTCCCGATGGGTTGGATTTGAAGTCGTAGGAATCCCCAAAGCTCAGTAATTCATTTATTCAACACATACTAGAGATGCTTTTCTAAGTTCGAGAAAGAGCAGGACACGAACCCCTGCTCCGCCGGGCCTCCACTCTGCTGGAGAGACAGACTGGAAGGGACGGCCAGGGCCGAGACCCCGATCGAAGCCTGCTGGGTTACTCTGGGGTAACCAAGAGGGTGAGGCAGCCCTGAGCTGCTGAGGGTGCCGGGCTGGCGGGGCAGTACATGCCCATCCGTCACTGTTGGTGGTACGCTGGGGGGCCAGCAGCGCCCACAGGCAAGCCCCGCCCAGGCCGTTCTCGCTTGCAGGCATTGCTCCCAGCGGCCAGAGCAAGCTCGGCACATAGTGGTTTGGCAAGCATGCCGAATGACTGAAGAGCACAGCATTCAGAGAGCTTACAAGACCAGGACCCAGACTCTTGAGGGGGACAGTGGGGTTCTAGGTACCGGCCTGCCTAGGTCTGAATCCTGGCTCCATCGCTTTCAGGTTATGTGCGAATGGACACATCGCTTATACCCTCTGAGCCTCAGTCTCCTGAGCCGTCCATTGGGAGAGGGACACGCACGGTCCCCACCTGGAAGGGCTGTCAGTCAAAGTTTGTGGAGTTCTCAGCGCACGCTGTCAGTGTTGCTGTGATGAGTATTGCTGTGTCCTATCACCGCCGTCTCGAGTGCACCCCCACAGTAGTCTAGGGTCAGAACTAAGAACAAAATAAGTCACTATTGTGGACAAAGCCAGGATGAATCCCCACTAGGAAGTGGGGAGAGTCCCCCCAGAGAAATGTCACAGAGAAACAGCCCAGAGGCTGGGGACTGAAGAGCCCTCAGAGGACTTGGGCGGGAACAGCAGTTAGCCCCGGGAGGAGGTGTGGGGAGGCTGTGGCTGCTGCTGTGTGTGATTTCGGGCCCTGGGTGTCCTATGCCTCACGAGGAGAATGTGAGTCCTTCTGTCCTCACAAGCCGCCGGATGCTGGCATGAGGCGGTGGCTGTGCCCTCACTACCAGGCACGGTGTGCAGATGAGGCCGGGTCTCTCTAGTCTGCAGGGCGGGAGGTGGGGAGGGAGATGGGCTGGAATGTTTAAAACCCACAGTGGGGATGGGAACGGGGAAGCTCAGGCTTGTTCACCAAAACCTGGCACGCCGGAGTTACAGGACCCCCTTGGAGTGCAAGTGAGGTAAGTTTAGGACAAATCAAAGGCAGCGTGCTTCACCCAGCAGGGGAGGACACCGATGGAACTCATTACCCCAAGATGTGGTCTCGGCTGGGAACATAAATAGCTTCACAAAAGGTTTAGATAAATCCATGGATGACAGCTCCATTCATGGGTTAGCAGGGGAAGGAGGCTGTTTGGGGCCAGCCGGCCTGTGGGGAAGGCCTCAGGGCGCAGACCTGGCCTCTCTAAGAGCATCCTTGGGGCCTGGTCGGAGACAGGCTTTGGGCCCCAGGAACCGCAGTGTTCCTGCAGGTGGGAGCTCAGCCCGAGTCCACGGGCCCTTTTCTCAGAACCCCCCATTCGTTGTTTGGGGAGACAACGGCACCACCAACACCGGGAGAGTCCTGGCCAGGCTGTCCCCTAAGGGACCAGCAGAGGGAGACAAACACCGTGTGCAGTCCCAGCTCCCAAAACAGCACCAGACTAGTCGGCCTCAGGGAGAGCAAGCAAGGGCCCCTGGGTCCCAGCTGGGTGCCCATTGCTGGGCCAGGACCCGAGGAGGGAGGGGCCGAGATGGACCTATTACAGTAGGAGGGGGCGGGGGAGGTGGAGGGGAGAATCTTCAGGGAACTGGGGACAGGGTGGGGAGGAGACCACTAATTAGGAGCAGAGCGGCTCTGGAGCCGTCTTGCCCTCTGTCCCAGGAGACTGCGAGCCCCTGGCTGGCAGCCGCAGGTCTCTATAGGTCCATACTGAAAGTTTTGGGAGATGGCGGGACCCCACGAGTCTGCGTGCCAGCTCCTCCCCAGCCCTGCTAGCAGTTCCAGGCCAGGTGTGGCTGTCCCCTTTATGCCACTGCAATTCTTCCCAGCCTCGCTCCAAGTCTTACCTCTGACCTCTCCTTTCTCTACACCACGGCCCTTCGCATGCCTTGAGTTCTCGAGTCCGTTTCGTTTAACAAATGTAGCAATCAGTGGCTGAAACTGATATGTGCTCAGAACACTCTGTCGAGGACTACAAGGTGACCCCAGAAAGGTACCCTTGGGACCAGGAGGGGTGAGCTCCTCAGAGACCCGAACCACCCGCATCTTGCAGACAGACAGCCCAGAACGGGGCTGGCACCCAGCACAGCCAGATCAGTTGGGGCGCCTCCTCCCTTCTGAGCTCACCGAGACCTGCGCATCGCCCTTCCAGCTCCAGTGCTCCTCCGGAGGCTGTCTGGGCTGCCAAGTCAAAGGCTCCAGTCGTTTCTCGTTGGAGGAGAGTTGTCCTGTGTGGGGAGTCAGAGTCGGGGTGGTAGGGACAGGCGTCAGGGAGGCAGAGTCAAAAGAACAGAGAAGGTGCAAATATGTAGCCACGGGGGCAAAGGGGACAGGCATCACTAGGAGAAGCAGGAGGATAGGGCCTGAGGGGCAGATAACAGAGCTATTTATCCTGTGATCGTGCCAGAGATTTGACTTCTATTAACTCGATCACCCCTTATTCTGAGGAAAGAACCATTTTCATTATCCCTGTTTTCTGCGAGACAAAACTGAGCTTTAGAGGGGTCATGTGACATGCCCAAAGTCACACAGCTAGTAAAGGCGGAGCAGTCGCCCTTACTGAGGTCACTCTCCCAACAGGGTAGGCAGGCGCTGGGGATGGCCAGCACTCAGGATGTGACTCCTGTCACTGCCTCACTGGGATGGCCCCAGGGAGGTGCTGTCTGTCCTCTGACCCCCTGGGCCCTAAGAAGCCCACACAGTCTAGAGAAAGCCCTGAGCAGCCTGAGAGAGGGCAGCTGGTGGGGAGGGAGTGGACTGAGCGGGAGGAGCCGGCAGTGACTCAGCAGGGCAGGATAAAGATCTCGCAGCCTAGGGAGAGGTAACCCCACTCCTCTGCCAGGGGAGACGGAGTCACGGAGCCCGGGGCGTGGGTTGGCCAGGGCCATGGAACATCCTGGGAGAACACGGGGAAATCTCCTGGTGGGCAAGGGAAAGGCTGAGCACTGGGGGGCAGCCCTTCTGCCCCTGCCCTCCTCACACACCGGTCACCCAGGCGTCCTTACAGACCGGACGCTAGAGCCCAGCGAGGGCAGGGAGCGGCCACCAGCAGGGCCCGGCTCCTCTCCGCTTTGCAGGGAGGCAGGTGGGTGCGGCATCCTCCAGGAGGCCTGAGCTGGTCCAGGTGAGGGTGGGGTTCGCAGGGCAGGGCAGGGCCCTTGCTGAGGTAGGAGGAGGCCCCGGGGTTTCCGCTGACATCACGGCCAGCTCAGGGTGAGGCAGGGCCCTCTGGGCTCCTGCCCACTGGAAGAAAGGAAAAGCGCACACCGGCTGCCTCCCCTCACCCTGCTGCCCTTGGCGGCCCCGCGCCGGCTCACTCACGCTGGAGCGTGTGCACAGGGGCTGTGGAGAGGCGCCAGTCCTAGGGATGGCTCCCGGGGGCTCTCCTCTGGCCCTGGCAGCCCTGGCAGGTGCCGCTGAGTCTACCTAGCCCCGCCCCGTGCAGACCATATAGTCAGGCCCTTGGGATGCACAGGGGCACCCATGACCCTGGCTCTGCAGGCGGGTGGTCCTCTAACTCCCAGTGCAGTGCTCAGTCCGTGATTCAAAAACACTGCTTCTCAAATCTACAATTCTAGCTGATGGGACTGGAGCACTCTTGGGGTGATGCCACTCACTGACCCAGGAGGGCCATATGGGGTGCCGGCCCAGTATCACCCTGTCAATTCATATCAGTGGTGTGGGTGGTGGGTGGTGGGCAGGAGAGTTCAGGTCTCTGCTCCAAGCAAATGGGGACTTCCTGTCCCAAAGAACGTCTTAGTGTCCTGAAGAGACCAAGCATGTGTCAGGTGAGACAGCCCATAGCCAGGGCAACTCCTACTGTCTAGGGACCGGCTCCAGCACCCAGGCTCTTCTCCCTTCAAGAGTCCCCTGCCTCGGTGCCCCCGCCCCAACCCCGGTTTGCACCTAGCGCAGGCAGTCCTGGGCTCCAGTCCTGGTTCTAGCACTTCTATGACCTTAGACAAGTGACTTCATCTTACGAAGCCTCAGTTTCCTCACGTATAAAATGGAAGAATAACAATTCCTATCTTACAGGGTTATTGTAAGAATAAGATAAAATCGTCCACATAAAACCTTAGCACAGGACCTGAAACTTGGTGAGAGCATAGTGCGTTTAAACTAAAGGCCCAAAGGATTGACATGTCACCAAGAAACACCAGACATTGCAGCAGGTCCCTGCCTCTCCTGCCTGCACACAGGTCAGCTTCCACCCCTCGACCCCATAGCCCCTTAGGGCTCCTCTCTGTGTTGTGACCCTTGAAAAGGAGTAGGTACTCCAGGGAATGTTGGGTGAACAAATGAATGAATTAGTGAATGTGCTTACTCACCTCTGTGGGCTTCTCCACTGTTACACTCCAGCTAACCCATCAGGATGGGACCAAACCGGAAGCCTCCCTAGTTCAGGAATCCAGGACACCCAGGGCCCAGGGCCCCTTCAATGCCAATTCTGCAGCTGCCTTGGGTATGATGTTTTGGGGCATCGGGAGAGCCTTCCCTGAGGAAGATGGAGGGCAGCTCAGTAACTGCCTGGTGCTAGCCCTGCCCCCTACCCAGCCACACGCCTTGGGGCCTTACCTGCCACCCCACCGTGGATGGCAGGGCCTGGAGTCCAGAAGGCCAGAGGACAGCGAAGCAGTGTCATCCTCATCAGCTCACTGGTACTCCCGCCATCCTGTGGGGAGGAGGGCAGAGGCGGTAACATCCCGCAGAGAGGTAGTGGGCTTATCCCAAGACCGCACTGCCCAGTCAGAAGCCCAGCATCCTGACTCCCAGCCTGGCCCTCTGCCTGCTGCGGGAAGCCCTGTGGGCTGAGCCCGGGGCTCCCTTGATGCCTCTGCCTGTAGTGGCCCCGCTGCAGCCATCCAGCGACATTTCCACCCTGAAGCTCCACCTCCGCCCAGAGCCCTCTTTCCAATTCCCCTTGCCCTGAAACTACAGGATGTTTGCTCACCACTCACTGCCTTTGGGGCCACTGGATACGCTACAGGATATCAGCGCAGTGAATGTTTGTAACTTTCCCTCATCATCCTCTGATCTCAGACGGTTTAATGGTTTAACAAGTGTCCCTTGTCACAAGCCTGTGAAATTTTTGAAGCTGTGGGGTGTGTTTTCCTCTTCCCTCCGTCCTTTACAGGGCCTAGCACCCAGCAGGGGCTCAGGAAATGCCTACACACGATGGGACAGATGGATCTGGAGCTCAGGGGGCGGTGTCTCCTCTAACCTCTGCCCTGCCCCCACAGCAATCCCAGACTGTTAGAGCCAGAAGAGCCACAGGGGAACAGGAACTTTCCTGAGGTCCCCAGCTGGCAATCAGAGGGCAGCCACCTGTGCCCCAGCACCGTACAGAAACCCTGGAGGGGCCGGTCCTACCCGGCCCCTCCTTCCCCTCCTTCTCCCCAATTCCAACAGCCCACTCCCATTTGGGATTTGGCAGAATAAAGGCACAGTCTTTATTCCGGCCCCCATCCCAACCCAACTGGCAGCTCCTAGCCTGCTGCCTTTGCCCAGACATGGCAGAGGGGCACCGGCAGCTTGGAGATGGAGTTGATTTTCCCTTTGGCAGTGGGGAAGAGGGGGAGGGGAGAGGCTCGCCCCCTCCCTGAGTGAGGGGAGAGGGCAGGGATGCAAGTCCAGACAAGAGGCAGAGGCAGAACAGGGCTTCCCCAGCCCGTGGGGTCAGAGCATCAGGCTAAGGGGCTGTGCATAAAGCCAACTGTCCCTGCGCCCACCTGGCCTGGGTCCCCATTTTGGAGTCGCAGCCCTCGGTTCCTGCAAACGAAGGCTTTCCAGACGCCTGCGGTGAGCATTTGCTGAGCGCGGGCAACATGGGGTTCTCCCTCACCCACCGGCGTCCACTCCTCTTCCTCCCCGTGCTCCTGCCTCCGCCGCCCTCCCGCTCCCAGCCATTCATTTGCCTCTTTGTGTCTCCTCTTTCCTGCCCTGTCCCTTCTCTTCCCCCCTCCTCTTCCCTCAGCCCCCACTCTTCTCCTTCAGCTCCCCTCTCCCCCCTCTTCTCTCTCTCCTGGCCCCCTCCTCCTCTCCTTCGGCAGGGCTGCTTTCTCCCTGACTCAGCAAGGTGCTTTATAAGGTGCTGAGGGGGGCTCAGCCAAATCCAAACCACATTGTCTGTGCAGACGCTCTCCACGAGGAGCAGGCTGCAAACCAGGGGGGGCTTGAGCAGCTCCTCTCTCCCTCTCGCCTCCCCTTCATGGCTCCCTCCCTTTGACAGGGTGGCTGCTAGGGGACCTCCTGGCTGGCCTCCGTGCCAGTCACCCACTGGGCATCTGCCTTCTTGACCTTGGCATGGGCATCGAAGATCATTGGGCTCACCGGCCAAGAATGTCATTGAAACTCCAGCGTTCAGCCTGGGGCGGGGGAGAGGGGGAAGAGGGAGGCCCTGAGCACTTTTCGAAAGGCCCCTCCAAGGCAGGTTTCATCAGAGCTGCTGCTGCTGCCCCAGAAGTCCCCTGCCCCCCAATCCCAGCCAGGTCCCCTTTCCCAGTTCTTTCTCTCTTTTAGGGGGGGAAAAAAAAAGAAAAAGAAAAAAAGGAAAAAAAGTAAGAAGAGGAAAAAAACTCAACAACAAAGTCTGTCCCACTCCAGTGAGGTAATTGAAAACAAATTTCTCTCCTCTC